TGCTACAAAACTGGAACTGAAAGCTCCATCACTACATCTTCAATGCTGACATCCAGATATCTGTCGAAAATCGATTTTATGCCCTCCATAGCCATAGCTGCCCTGAAAACGTCTTATGATGGTGGACCTGACAGGATACCTTCATCATTTGTGAAATATGGAAGTAGAGAATTTCCACTATTTTGTTTGAAACTTTTCAATCTATCTGTAGAATATGAGACCTATCCATCTGTATGGAAAACATCCCTTATCATCCCTAGATTCAAAACAAGACCACGTAGTGATATTATTAACTATAGGCCAATTAATTTGACATCCGTGCTCTCAAAAACCATGGAAAAAATCATCCACAAACAGCTACTATCATTTTTACTTTCAGCCAGTCTGATCAGCTCATCCCAACACGGGTTTATGACTAAACGCTCATGTTTCACATCGCACCTGGAGCATTTTGATCATATTACCCAGAAAAGAGATGTCGGTCAGTCATTGATAATTCTTTACTTCGATTTGAGTAAGGCTTTCGACTGTGTCTCACACAAACTTCTTCTTCTAAAACTCTCTTCATTTGGCATACAGAATCCCCTTTTATCTTAGCTCAAATCTTTTTTAGAAGAACGTAGCCAAATCGTTCGCTTTGGATCTTGCTGCTTTAAACCTATGAATGTAACCAGTGGGGTTATACAAGGAAATGTGGTTGGTCCATTACTCTTTCTCTTTTTATTAATGACGTGTGTTCCCTCTTTTAGTATGGTAAGCCTTTCCTTTTTGCTGATGACCTGAAAGTAGTTTATTCATTCTCTTCTCCCATGAAAGAAAGCTGTATTTCAGCGGTTATCCAAGAGGAAATAAACAAATTGTACGAATGGACTATTTCGTGGAATATGCTACTTAATGTTGACAAAAGTGGTTTTATTCACATTGATCGTTGTCTTAACTTAAGTCTGACTGTACAGACACGTACACTCAAACCTCTCAACACTGTTCGTGACCTGGGTTTAAGATATAGCATTAGTCTGAACTTTTCTGAACACATTATTTCTCAAGTATCCAAAGCTAGGAAGCTAATCGGATTGATAATGATAAACTTCAATAATGTCGAATCGAGATTGTTATTATACAGAAAATGTATCTTACCCATTCTTGATTATGGTATTTTAGTTTACAGTAATTGTAGACATAATGATCTGATTACAATTGAAGGTGTTCAGCGAAAGTTCATCGAAGCTGTTCCGGGGTATTCTAATAACAAAGAATATCATCAAAGATGTCAACAACTCAACTTAGAACATCTTTGGATCAGACGTATCAAATTAAATCTTGTCTTTTTCTACCGGCGTATTAACAGTATTTCCTACTCTTTGGTATACACCCCCTTCATACCTTATGATATCATCCCACAATCTACGCAATAAGGAGAATATTCTAGCTAATCCAAGAGCACACACAAACTTACGTCATAATTGTTTCCTTATTCGCTACTCAAATATATGGAACAGACTGACAGTGAACCTCCGTTGCAGTGAAACTACAACCCGGTTCAAAAGTCTCCTTGACGATTTTCTTTCCGAAAGTGGATTATGTCACCTATTGAATATCAATGTATTCAATAATGATATATACAAACAAGGTCCGTCATCTATTTAATTGCTTGAAAAGCAAAATAAAACCTTTAAATCTTTTCACGTCAATTTTGTTTTATTTCTCTTTATCTTAATATATGAAGTCTGCTTATGTTCGTGTTTATCATTATTACCGTTATTAATATCATTATTAGTTCCCCGACACATTAGGTATTCTTTTTATCTCTTCTTATCCTTCTAAACATATTTAACTCCTGATTGTCCTTAGAAATCAATTTTGACTTTCATAGCATCATTCTTAATTATTATTGCACAAATATTTATACTAATATCCGGTTTCACTCTGTATAGTATTACATAAAACTAAATGTATTCATTCGACTGCTTTGAAGGATTTTTATTTTACTTTTCTAAATTGTTGGTTTCCGTCTGAGGTTGTTATTCATTACACAATTACTATTCTTATCATGCATGAAACTTTTAACTCGGTGTTCACTTCTTTTCTCTCTTCTTTCTCCCTAAATAAATATTATTCTTATGATTACGAAGTTTGTAATTAAGACGATAACTTGTGTTACACTTTAATAAACTTCTCAGATCCGTTTTATTCTCACTCTAAATTATAACTGCACAAACATTTATTCTAGCGTCATATCTTACTATAATAATAAGTTGTTTTTTCTGAATTATTTTTTGTTACTAATTAAACGATACACACATAGTCGTTTATTCTTGTTTTGTGTTCATGAACACGCCTATTAGACTGTTTGCGTATTTCACGTCTCCCATATTTCTATTCCCTTATTTTCTCCATTTCCTTCTTTAAACTCAATCCAACATTCTTCTCAATTACACAGACTCGATTTATCATTATTAATATTCTATTAATATTATCCTAATTTTTTTTTAAATATGGCAAGTATAATGCTAACATTATTGAAAATTGTGTATTATTGCATTTTCTGAAGAAACCCGAAATGGTTTCTTCACAACACTTATGTACCCATAAGATGTTTGTGAATAATAATAACATATGTCGAAAGTAAGATTTGCTTCTGTAGTTAGCCACAGTTTAAACGTCTATGGGATGTTCTGTTTTTGTTTGCTTACTTACCTTCATAGCAACTCATGTGCAATTCAATTTGTTCACATTTAATTCGGTTATCCAGACGAACTGTATACGAAGTTTGAGGATTATGTGGAATACCGACCACCACAACATACTCTCACACTACTTTATTGAACTATGTGTGTAATACAGGATAGTGAAAACAAATTAACTGTAGACTTCCTTCTTTGTCTTATCTCTGAAACAATTTTGTTTGAATACATCAAAATCCATTTGGTGTGCAATAGAACGAAAACATTAAGAGATTAAGTCGGACAAATAGAAGAAACCTGTGATTGATGACAGATAATAGACAATGACAAATAAATACATTTCAAAAATGTTTGTTGAAGATGTGTGTTAGGCAAGAATTGATCGTCTAGATTGCAAAACTAAATCTGAAAATAACCCACAATGACAAAAGTTAAAATTCTGAACATACCTACCCTAATTATAGTATTAACATTTAACACTCATTAAATTTACCGTAAAAAGAACCATCAAAATAAACAACGATATATGATAGATACACGTTTCAACATGTCAAGTTGAGGTAATCTACCAAATAGTGTTCAAAATACAAATACTTCCAAACAATATTCATTGATCAAATCTAATAAATGAGTTTCTCTCTCGACAACAACTAGAAGAATGTTGTTCTACGCGTTCTCTTTCAATTTGGACAATATTCCTGAAAAATAAAACAAACAAGCATAGATAGTTGCGTAGATGGTTAGTTCACAGCAACACAAACGTAAAACACTTCAAACATGAATTAACTCGGTTATTGAACTGTCACTAAATAACTACTGACTGAAATATTTTGACATGATTCATCCAAAATAGAAATATGTATGTAATATACTGTGTAGTTCATGAATCCCTACATATGTAACCTTTTCTAAGAAAGTGATGGACACTTTCAGGTGAGACTATATTTTACGGACGACTTCTGAGTGACTAACAAGTGACTTTGAGAATGTAAACTTAATAACTCGAATTAAGTGAGGGTCATAAACCAGCATGCGGAATTGGAATTATGATTTGCGGTTGACGGTTAGCGTTAGCAATTACATTTATGGATTTCATCACGAACTGACATCAACTATAATGCCGAGATTCTAATTAACCAAATACATGAGTGAATTTTGCGCCAAAGTCCGAGAACCGTTAACTTATACCAGATTGGTTCGTCTATAAATTATGGTCTCGCCTAATTTCGTAGTGAAAAATGGTTCTAGTGAAATGGTTGGTCTTCTTTATCTGAAGGCTTCTACAATCCCGGCGACATGGGCTTTCACTCTCGCTATAATATGCTGCTTTGTCTTCAGAAATACGTCAAACTAATTACTCTGATAAAAGTGATTTATATCCGTTTCCTATTTAAGGTTTGTAACTATCAAAAGTTGTAAGCAGCTGACGAGAACCAAACAAAATAAAGTGGTCTCCCATGTTATGCCAAAATATTTGTTTCCGCTCGCATCAATATGCATTACATTAACTGGCTGAAAGAATGTGTGTAAAGTGTGCGGGTGAATGTTGAGGGAGTATGAGACACGTTACTCGGTCGTAATGTTTAAACGAACATGTCTACAGTCTGATCTGTTCACAGGATTGCCACAATGTGGATACACTTGCACAGAGAGAAGACGATGAGAGGAGAGTTGAGAAATGACAATGTTATCTGTTCTTGAATATAAAATCAAGTGTAGGAGAGAAAATGCATTATTGTTAAAACTGTGAATAGGTCAAGGTCTACTCATGGTTAGCTTGAATTCATTTCGTTCAACGTCTGATCTAATAAAGTCAATAAAATTCTGAAGGTCTTTTTGGCACACTTGAGGAACCTATGCCAGTGGGTTACTCGTTCAATGTTTATGGTAAGACAAACTTAAACCCAGTTGAAGCACCAGTTTTATCGCATTTGTGACAGCCACACATGTTGCTCAACCCTGTTTATAGTTGATAAGATGCCCGCGTCGTGATATTATAATCATGTTACTCAGCAATATATATATATATATATATATATATATATATATATATATATATATATATATATATATATATATATATATAAACATACTTACTGACATTAGAGATGAAAAAGAATCACTTTTCTATGTGTTCTTGATTATCATCCAATTATACTTTAAAGTCTGTTTCATTATATGGTCAAACACATTTGAACAACTAGTAATGTTTATGTAAAATTCTCCTACACTTCAAACCGATATTCACTTTCTACAGATTTTCAACACTAATCACGCCACTCTGTACAAACTTCCTTCACTTAATTTCTCACCTCATCATGAAACAAATTTTTTATCTAAATCTGTGTTATTACAGTAGCATGATTTATTCATTTTTGTTAGTACACTTGATGTGGCAAACAGTTGTAAATCACTTAGACTAACCTTACACAATGACGTGCACTTTGGACATTGTATATCGATAGAAGCATTTCCATTTCTCAATTGTTGTTCCATATGTAGTGGTCCACCGTCAACAGGACACTGAAACGCCTTTTCATTAAATATCACTTGAACACCAATATTCTTTGAACATTGGAACTGACAGTGTTTGCAATCAAGTTAAGGAACAATCAGTAGACAATTAGTATTAAATTGAATAGACGTCGGCATTATTAATCAGTTTCTGGGAAATGTCTATCTAACTATTTGGGAAGATATCTATACCATACCAGTTAACAGACGGAATTTTTACCCAGAAATATGTACACGATTTTAAGTTTAGGCATATTGTTTTGTTCATCATTTAATTTGTCTCCATGTGTTAGAAAAATGTTGACGATATTTGGCCTCAGCAGGTAGACGTAGAATTATCGTGTTTATTATTTCTGCTGTCCGTTGCTATTACTAACGGGATTCAGGCAGCTAAAGATAATCCAATAGAGTCTATCGATCCATCGGAAAACATATATCAGCATTGGTTCGCGAAAAGTCCCATCTATAAGCAATGGGTTTCGCCGGTCTCCTTGAATATAAATGTGATGCATCGGTTTAACCCGACTGATCACAAGCTTGACAATAAATGTAGATTTTTACTATGAAAAATGGTGCATAGTTTACGTCGAATTGAGTTGCCTATTAGTCGGAGGATGCTTATGAGTTGGAAGCAGTAGCTGCATCTTTTAACTGCTTAAGGCCTTATCAAATTGTGTGAGCCACCGACAAGAGAAAATCTGTTGAGTGAGACAATCTGTCAGGATAATGGGACGCTTATCATTATTGTTTGACTAAAATTTGGGCAACGATTTGAATTCATTGTTGAACGAATTCACCGACCTGCTAACCATTGAACACAATTAAGACGACCCTGTACTCAATGGCTGTTGAAGCAGGCAGGAACTATATCAAAGTTTCAGAACCTAAATATCATTCCAGTGTGTTAAAAATGAAGCGATGGTTGTCCTCATTCAATTATCTCATCCATTCTCTTCAACTTTGCTGTTGACGACTTTCTGTAGTGAGGTCTGCTGGAAGTAGATAATGACGATCTGACTCTGTTACCTGAGGAAAAGCTGAGCGGCCTTGAGAAATGGGATGATACTGTCTTGTTGTGAGGTGTTACTCAATTCATCCAAACCCCACGTTACCAGTCGGCGATTACTGTCAGTTGGTATAGGACATGCTTTGCACCTACTGAGTGACTTAGGACGAATCTTTATGTTTGATCATAATTGTTCCCGACGGCACACAGTTTGAAGGCTAAGTTAGTAACGTGAGGGCTCGACAACGTGTGTTAATACGAAGCGGTTCAATTCGTATTATCATCTGATACACCGACTTTAATGTCCTGGACGTGAACTACGAATGTCGTTCCACATAATCAAACATTGTGCGTTATTTGCCGACGCTGAGACTAAATGGAGGAGGCAGGAAGGAGGTCAGTCCAAGATATTTTGTGGTGTCATGAAAACATTTTGTTTAGAATTGTGTTCTGTTGGTCCTTCATGACATTCCGGTTGACGTCCTACATATAATGAGTTTCAGCCTCTGTTGATGTTAACAGACATGACTAAGAATATTAAGAGTGGTGGTTCGATTGTAGTTTTTTCTTTTCTTCTACCCATATAAGTGAGAGGATTTTATTCAAATAAAAGAATCATATTTGATTTAATTAATTTTCTGAACACTGTAAACCCTCATCTACTTATTTTCATCTATCTGTTGTTCATTTTTCAATACGCTTACATTCCCTTCTCTACCTCTTCACAATCTTATTTTCTTGTGTTACACATAAATATCATCGAGCACACGAATTATATTTCACTCTAACATGACTTACTTTATGACAAGATGATTTCTTCTTAATAGTGTAAGTTCCAGATCCGTTAACATATGTTTGTGATTCGTCATTGAAACAAGCTGAATTAGGACCTCTATACTCCATAAACATGTTAAGCATTGAATCTGTAGAAAATTATATATATATATATATATATATATATATATATATATATATATTTAGTATAACGGTAAATTTGTAGAAATCTAATTTGTTTTATCATCATAAATTGACATTCTACCCACGTACATATTCTGACAAGATGAAAGTTTACTTTAGTTCATGAAATCAACATCTTTTCACAATTCAATCATACAACCTATTTTTTTCTTCATATCATCACTTTCTAGCATACGAATTTTGTGTTCAACTAGAGATATCAAAAAACTACATGTACAAAAAGATTTAAGTCTATTATCAACTTGCACTGGCCACAATAATTCTTAGTAAGGAGTTGACTATAACGCCAAAAAATAATTACTTTTTTGTGAATAAATATTCATTCAAAGTAATATGTGACGATTAACAAGACGTTTTGATTGCTATCAACTAAGTGAGTATAAGCATCATTTATTTGAAAAATTTACTTCATTTTACGAGGGTATATTTGGGATAAATTTTGACATATTCTGTAAACGTGTTAAACCCTACTTATTGATTTAATATGAAATATGAATATTTGGCGAAACTCTAATTTGAGGACGACCTTTGAACGAATATAAATGACCGTGACAATTATTAGTCATTCAGAAAACAGTTAGTATTAAGTAAAAATATATTATACGAAAATAATGAATTACAGTGGATATTCTTCTTTTACATGATTTAAAGACTTGTTAAGGTTTGATAAAGGTTCAGAGGTTCTGAATTCATAATGCATACAGTATAGAAACTCGTCCATAGGGTCAGGGTTAAGATTTACCGTTAGGGTTAGGGTTTACGGTTGTATCCTCTCAATAAACACCTCTGCTCTAAAATCCGCGATCGTGTGTTAGCATCACGTAATGAACTTGGCTCCGTGACCTTGGAATTGCTCAAACGCTTCTTTTTGGCTCGTCTCTAAACTAGAATTTCGCCACACTAACCCTAACCTAGATTCTTACCCTAACCTCTAACCCTGTGGACGAGATTCTATACCGTATGCATTATGAATTCACAACAACTGAGCCTTTATCAAACCTTAATGAGTTTTTACATCATGTAAAGAAAAATATCCGCTGTAATTCATTACTTTCTTATAATATATTTTTACTTTATACTAACGTCTTTCTGATTAGCTAATAATTGTCAAGGGCATTTAAGATTCGTTCAAAGGTCGTCCCTAAATTAGAATCTCACCGAATATACATATTGTAATACATATATTTAGAGAGGGATTTTGTGGATATTATAGTAATTTAATAGTTGAAATCATGAGTCAATCGAAGTTAGACCACCATGGTAAACCAGGGAGCACTGGACGTCCAACCTGTCTTACTGTGGGACTCATCAGCAGTGGGCACCCACGACCCGAGACGTTAGACTTGAACTCACAAACTTCAGTCTCGTGCACGAGCGCTTGACCACTAGACCACTGAGCCAGCCTGCATCCAATGGTGTTAAAGTCTAACTCCATCCAACACCGTTAGGTGCCGCTCAGTAATCTAATGATTAGGTGTTCACGCGCGAGACTGAAAGGTTCTGTGTTTCGAATCGTACTGCTGAGGGATCCTTTAGAAGGACGGAATGACCGTCCAGTACTTCCTGTTTTCTTTTTGTGGTCTAGCTTCAGTTGACTGATGAATTCAACCGTTAAAATACATGTATGTTTGATGAGTAAACACAAGAGGTGAACAAACAAAATATGTTCGTGAACAAACCTGGTATTATTTCACTTTTCTGCTCACACAGGTGTTGTTTATTATGTTCATCCGATTGAACCTAAATCGAATTGTTTTTAAACACAGTAAATATAGTATGTATGAAGTAACAAAAATTCATTGTCGTCTCAAATAAATTTTATTCCATATGACTGATCGATTTAGTACAGAAATACAGAGACAACATCGAAATCTGTTTCCATCAGAAATCAATGATAAAACAGTTTTATGTGTTGATGATAATAGTGATGATTATGTATAAGGTTTTATCTCTGTAAGTAGACGAACAAGCCTTCACGTGAATTCCTGAAAAGCGTCAAGATCATCTCATTAATTCACAATACTTCTAAGGCAGAACAGATTCGGTCATCAAAATGATAATTCATTTAAATATTGGTTTAGAGATCATGTAACTCTGAATAGCTGTAATATCTCAAAGAATCAGAAATAACATTGTTTACAACAAACACCTTTGCATATCATTGTATAAGAAACCATACGAATACATGTATCTCTTAGTTAAAATACTTACTAAGTAACCAGTGAAATGGTATATTCACGGATCATATCTGATAAACCGGTTCATCTGATGTAACAATTTCAGACGCTTTGTTCCAGATAATCATTTCGATGACTAGCTAAAAACTGTCAAATGCATGACGTGAGTGGTTTGGTAACTATCAGAAGTTCACTTTGGTTGTTTGATCAACACACTTGTTTCTCATATAATAAACATACGACTGTAAAATAGTGACTTACTAGGAGGACTGGACAGTAGTCAAAAGCCATATGGCCTCCATATTTCTCTTTTTGTTTGGCAGTAAAAGGGAACAAGTTATCCATATACTGATACTCTTCATCTAATTGTTTGTCATGTTCATATAGATAGCAACCACCAATCCCGTTTTCATAACCGGCGCATTTTGGTTCTTTTGGGATATCACAGAAAGGCTCAATATCTTGTCCTCTGAGGAGAGAAAAATTTGATTTTTATTGAGATGAAAATTTGCCACGTTAACCCAACAGCAGATAATATTTGCTTACGTCATTTTGTGTTATTTTGTGTAGATGATGCTATACCTACATCCTTGCTTTGTTGTTCACTCTCAGACTGATCTTCGTGAATTCCGATTCAAATGTTGACGTGTAATTCAGAGGGCCTCTCAATGCAAATAGACATAAGTGTGTCGAAAAAGTATGGTGATCATTATGATACATACTGACGGACACATGTCAAAAACCAGGTTCAAAATCAATCAAGGTCGACTACAAATCCTATTGAAAATAGTTATGACTAATGAATATAAATGCTTCAATATTTTACATAGTTGAAGATTTGCACTTTTCTACTGACATTTTGAAATTCGTGTATGTTCTCGTCAAGAAAACTGAGACTTTAGGCTCTGAGATCTGATATTTTAAGTAAATGTATCATCTAGATAACTTGAAGCTTTTCTACATTGAAACACTTCATCATAAAACACATCTAACAAAGTGTAACAAATCTGAAACGTTTACAGCTGAGTTGATGATTGTAATTGCTGGACTGTGTTTAATAAAAGTGTTAACATGACTGATGACGAGATCGAATTCATTGACCGTTCACATGGTTCAACTGTTATCTATACTTGTGAGTCGTTAAGATGGGCAATTTTTTAGTTGCTCAATATAAACTTACAAACGGTCAAACATAGACATATAATGTGTCTATTTTACCTGCTTTTTCTGTTCTTAATGAATTCATAGCAGCTCTTCAACACGAAATCACAACCCAAGCCTTTTCCCCATTTGAAATCATCGGCCATCGAATAGTCGACATCGTACATGCTTTTGGAAGCAAAATACATTGAATAAAAATGTGGTTAGGAGAGATCGCGATGTGATGATATTTGCATATTGATTTCTTATTTGAAATTCATTTAGTTTTTTCTTTTATTTTTCAATACAGGTTGTGACGTCAGAAGATGTGAAAACCGAATTTATGAAAGATCTAGACTAATAACATCGAACATCAAATGTAAATAGTGAGATACTTCCAGTGAGTTTGACCAATTGTCGTATAAATTAGCATGAATAACAAGCACAACTGAATTTCAAACTTGAAAGGCACTGTGAAAAAACTATTCAATAATAGAAGTATCCATCTATGACTTGACCGTAATATACTAGTTCTCCACATTGTACAAGTTGAAGTATTCGTTGGTTCCTTTATAACCGTTAGTACTATATTTTTCAGACATTTATTGACGAATCCATGATATAAACCTTTTGAGTCATCAAGGAATGGGAATAAATATCAGTTAAGAAAATTCTCTTTTTGACGATTCGACCTTCTGACACTATACAATTGTATTTGCGATTAGCTTCTGAGAATAGAAGTCTCAACCAAAACAGATGATTGCTTCGTCAACATTACACGTAATGAAGGATACTCCAATGTCAACGTATTCGAATATTACGTAAATTTAAATAAATGTAAGAATTTTGCCCTGTGAACGACCATCAATTGTACTTCGGCGTATCGCCATTTTGAAGTATGAAAGCAATTAAGTATTCATACGAATACTTGTCAATATTAGAAAAAGTAGTTATACAAAAAGGAGATGCCGAGTATAGAGAAACCATCATATGTGAAAACTGCATTTGAAGTAGTATCAACGTTTGAAACTTAGATAATTTCAACGTTTGGTTAATCGATTTATACCGTTTTTACTGTAACCGTTTTCGAAAGAAACAGTTTTCAGATAAAGTTACACTGCTTCAAATGCCTCAGATACGTCTGCTACAAATGGAGCTTGAAATGCGAGGTTTTATGTAGACTCACAGACCGCCACAAAACTCGGCTCTTCGATTTTAAATAAGGACAGCAACACGAATGAATATTTGTTCATAAAACTACTCCAGTACTTCTTCAGTTTATATTGATTATTTGTCTAGGGAAGACAGGTGCAGGAATGAATACGACGTTTTAGTGTGTTTCATCTATAATTTACTAAATAAGGTGTCTTTCATGTAGAAATTTGTAAAGTTTATCACGATTTAATTATTCTCATATTTCAACATGTAACACTTACTTTATATCCTCGAAATAAGCCAGAGTTATTCTTGAAACACGGTTTGACTCCAATGGATAAGGTGTCATCAAATCATTCTGGTGAAAGTGAGGTGACATCAAAACATTAGAAATAAATCAGTATGGAACTTATGTGATTGTGACTGGATGAAGCATGGGGTTTGGTAAACCGTGAATGTGAGCGCTTCAAACTATCAGTAATGACAGAAGACCAGTTTAAGTGTCTCGTGTTTGTGTGCAGCCTTCAATCTCCCGAAGATGCTGACATTAGAACCAGAACTTTGAGTAAAGTTGAACAAAGTCCGAATACGACATGACAAGAAGTGACCACAGAGTGTCAGAGATTTGTAAACCTAAAGCAAGACACTTCGATGGTCGAAAATAATGGCCAGTTGCCATACGTTCGTGCTGTAAGCGAAAAGAACGGTTCTTGCTCAAGAAAGGTATCACACACAAACAATCAGCCTTCCTCTCCATGTTGGTCTTGTGGGGGTTGGCATTATAAAAGGTTCTGCTCATATAAGGAACATTGTTGTAGCAAATGTCATCGGAAGGGACATGAAGAAAACTGCTGCATAAAAAGAATCCATAAACGACATTCTTTGAAGCCCTACTCGAAGAAATACATATTTAGTGCTCGAACAAACAAAATATTGGTATCACATAATCAAGCATGAATTTGCCGCCAAAGAAAGTATTTAAACTTGGATATAAATAAAAAGCGTGCCCGCCTGCAACTCGACACCGTTTCCGACATCACACTAGTTAGTCGAAGAACTTGGAATCTTATCGGTAAACCACGGGTGCTCACAACAACCCAGTTAGCTCCCAACGCATCTGGAGGAAAACTAAATATTGTTGGAGAGGTTTGTTGTACAGTTTGGAAAGGAAACGCGAAAACGAATGCAACTTTATATCTCACAGAGAACCCAGGACTAGATTTGCTAGGTCTAGAATTGATAGAAACACTACAATTAGCAAATCACCCCATTAACCACATATGCAGTGCAGTGAGAACCAATAAACCGGTGGAAAAGGATCTGAAGAGTGTTGTATTGGAAAGATATTGTCCAGTGTTTACGGAAGAGTTGGGGGAATGCAAAAAGGTAAAAGCACTATTGATTCTTAAAACGGGAGTCACCCTTGTCTTCAGATAAAAACGTCCGGTACCCTATGCAACACTACCTATTGTTGAACAAGAATTAGAGCGTCTGCAAAGAAGTGGAATAATCGAACCAATAAACGTTTCTGATTGAGCAGCACCAATAGTGATTGTTTAAAAGCCTAATGGAAGTTTCCGGTTATGTGTAGAATATTCGAGTGGATTGAATGAAGTACTTGAAGCCCATCAATACCCATTGCCGGTACCAGAGGATTTATTTGCGAAACTGATGGGGGTAAGTATTTCGCGAAGTTAGACCTATCAGACCCTTATCTACAGATTCCGGTCGCGGATGAGTGTAAGCAATACTTGACATTAAACACTCACAAGGGGTTGTTCCGATGTAATAGACTTCCTTATGGAGTACAGACCGCCCCTTCAATCTTCCAACAAGTTATGAACACTATGTTACAAGACATTCCTGGTACCGCGGCTTATCTCGATGATATATTGATCATGAGTACAGACTATGCTAATTTAGAGAATAATGTGGACACGGTTCTCAGACGCATAGCAGATTATGGATTCAGACTGCGTGCCGAAAAATGTGATTTTTACATGGAGCAAGTCCGGTATTTGGGATTCATAATCGATAAGAACGGAAGAAAACCTGATCCTGAAAATGCCGAAGCCATTGATTCCATGCCTCCGACGACGAATGTATCAACTTTACGTTCTTTCTTGGGAATGGTTAGACATTATGGAGTTTTTCTTCCAGATCTGCATTGCCATCGTGCTCCTCTTAATTGCTTACTGAAAAAGGATACTAAATGGTTCTGGTCAACTGAATGCCAGGAAGCATTCCTAAAACTGAAGCAGCTTCTATCATCGAACCTTCTCCTTACACACTTTGATCCCGATCTTCCAATTATAGTCACATCAGATGCGTCGAACTATGGAATCGGAGCAGTAATTTCACATGCCTACCCTGATGGGTCTGAGAAAGCAATTGCTCACTCTGCGAGATCGCTGACTATGACTGAAAGAAACTACAGTCAAATCGAGAAAGAAGCTCGCGCGATTATATTTGCTATAAAAATATTCCACAAGATGTTGTTTGGCAGACAGTTCACCTTACTTACAGACCATAAACCGTTATTGACAGTTTTTGGATCTAAAAAAGGTATCCCGGTATATACAGCAAACCGGCTACAGCGATGAGCTACCACACTGCTGAGTTATGATTTCAAGATAAAGTATCAACCAACAACGGATTTCGGACAGGCAGATGCACTCTCAAGATTGATTGGTTTGCATGAAAAACAAGAAGAAGAGGTGCTTGTAACTGCTATATATGTCGAGGCCGAGGTTCACAAAATATCGTCAGACGCAGTTTCCGGACTCCCGGTCACATTCAAAGCCATTAAAGCGGCTAGCAAGAAGGGTAATGTATTGAAGATTGTTCGTCATTGCATACTCAACAAATGGCCTACATCTAGACTACACGGAGATCTCTTACAATACTTTTGTCGACGAGAGTCATTAACAGTTGTCGATTCATGTATAATGTTTGGCCATCGTATCGTTGTCCCCAGAAATCTTCGACACTAATTCATTAAACAGTTCTACAGTGGGCATCCGGGGATAAGTAAAATGAAGTCACTAGCTCGCATCTGTGCATACTGGCCGTCAATGGACCATGATATAGAGCAAAGAATGTCGCAGTTGTTGGTCCTGTCTAGAGGCTGCGAAGAATTCAATGAAAGCTGAACCACAACCATGGTCTAAACCGGACGGAACTTGGCAAAGAATACATGCTGATTTCGCCGGACCATTACAAGGCAGGAATTACTTAGTTGTTGTAGATGCTTTCACAAAATGACCAGAAGTGTTTGACATGCCGAATACGACTTCAGAGAATACAATAAAAAGATTGTCAGGATTGTTTGCTTGTTTTGGGGTTCCAGAGATCCTAGTGACCGACAATGGTACTCAGTTCATGTCATCCACCTTCAAACGCTTTTGCAACGAAAATGACATATTGCATCTACAATCTCCTCCGTACCATCCTCAGTCGAATGACCGGGCAGAAAGATTCGTGGATACGATTAAAAGAGCTCTGGTCAAAGGGAGAGGTGATGGTATTTCGGAACAAGTTATTAATAAGTTCTTGATGTCTTACAGAGTTACCCCTAATTCGGCAGTACCAGAAGGATAGTCTCCGGCCGAGTGTATGTTCGGAAGGAAAATCCGGACAGTCTTTAACAGTATGTTGCCGCCCAGAAAGACAAATAACCGCACGAATGAAAATCTTAAGGTCAATCGTAGCTTTCAGGTGGGTGAAGAGGTACTTTTCAGATCGTATCAAGGTAATAGGAAGTGGTAACCAGGCGTCATAGAACGTCGAATCGGAAATGTACTGTACTTAGTCCGGAAAGTTGTCGGAAAATGCATAACACATATAAATCAAATGCAAAGAAATGATAGTACAGTGGTCACAGAAAACCGGCTCCCATTTCAATTGCTCGTAGATTCATCTCAGAAGAACCATCATGAGCGCAAATATCGAAAAGATAAACGACGCAGAGAGAGCTGTACAACCCTCGAAAGTAATAGACCGCAAGAGGAGTGCGACACCCAAGCTTCAGGTGGATCCAAGAAAAAAATCTTACACAACGGACTTTAAAGGGTAGAGGTGTGACGACGAACCACCGGTGAACTCGAGGAAGCTGTAAGAGGCTCAGAAGGAGCCAAAGACGTCTCATCCAATTACCTTTCGGAAGAATGTTCTAGAATTACAACGTGTAGCTTCCCGATTGGATAATGCTAATAACCCCCAGTATGCAGATTGAAAGACTGTAATTTTGATTTCATTCTCACTAAAAACTATAAATACCTGACAATTATGTACTATGATTGACACTGTTTGGAATGATATTCCTTGCATTAGTCTTCTGTCTTCTTATTGCGACTTGGAAGGGTTTTAGTGTTCTAGTGCTCTGTTATACGCGGTATATCGAGAAAATCAGTTTCCAAGATGTAACAAATAGTATTTTAAAAACAAATTGCAATAACACGTTTTCTCAGTGAATAACGTTGTTTATCTGTTGATGCATTTATAGATACTACAGTTGGTTTTACTCTAACTTGACAACACAGAATTGCTTCGAATACATGCTAAGTTATTACTTATCACGCTGGGAGTATTGCTTATTTTATGATGCTTTGCTACCGATTTGTAACATCTGAGTTGTGTAATGCTAAATCAAGCGTGTTGAAAAGCCCAACAGTGTCGCAAACAATCTACGGAGCATCATACGAAAACTGTGAATGTCAAACGTTTTTTCTACTTCAATGATACATTTTAAACTTTCATTTATTGCACTCAAAACAACGTTGATACTTGTTACGTTTTACTTCTCTACATACTCAAACAACAGTGTGAATACAAACATTTTCTGAATATAGGAAAGCAAACATATTTGACATGAACAGTATTCAGAGGACAGATTATTCTGCGGGATGAATAACTAACTTCAAAAATCTATAGTATAAGCAAACTCACTCCCATCACTCGGTGACTGAAATGGTTTTTATCCAGCTCGATTCCTTGTAGTTGGTTGCAGCCGAAATGTTCTCTTGCTTCTTTCTTCATTCAGATAAACGATGTAAAGTGTCATAAGGCATTAGCAATGAAAGTCAACTTATAATAAACGAAAATACTCATAATCTAAACTCAAGTTAGTAATTGATGCATTAATCTAAGAAGCATAAGAACGAAGCGAATAGCAGATGAATCTGGTTCAGATGCGTGATTTAGGAATATTTGTGGTGTTTTTCGATTGAATATTCACTTAAAATCAACTACTTAACTTTAACCGTATTGATAATGGCGTGAGTCATACCGTTTTTAATCATTTTGACTGGATTTGGATCAGTCTGCGTTGGTAAACGCTTACACTGGATTCCACTTCTAGCTATATTCCATCCATTCTCAACAAACTACTGTGACACTTTCCAATCAATTTTCTTATCACCGAATTCCAGTTGAATCAGTATCAATGACTTATATAAAGCCTCCTCACAAATCTTGAACGTATGAATGATACAAGTGACGAATCGCAAACGTAGCCGGATAAGGCTAATTTACTTTCTCATTTCTTACAATCATACGCTATCCTGGTTACTGAAGTTAGAAAACATTACAATTCATGATGCCGTACATGCTTTGACATTTCTCAAATAATTTCATCACATTTGTGGCTGTGAATAACGTGATATGACTCATTGTAACTTAACACAAACGTAAGGGAGCCTAACATCACAAAAGTTGGGAGGGTGGCGTTACTGACCAGCAAACATGACGGTGGGGAAATAACTCCAATCCATCCATGTCTGTAAGGCAGAACATTTTGTTTAATTACGGCTCCCTATGGTTTACTGGGATGTCACGAACTTATGGTTTTAATGCTGATTCATCATGCGAAATACCTCATCAAATCGTGTTACGAACGTTGAATTGGTTTCACTTCCTACCCAGTAATCTTATTACAAGCAAACTAGACAATTCGCTAATATACAAAGCCTACTCAAGACCCTATGATACCTGAAAAAATATAATAATACAAAAATAAAATGAAAGGGGCTCTAATAGCTTCGATAAAAAAAGGAAGATAGCCAATTGTATATCACAATACTGTTTCTGGCACTATATTTTATTTTATAACCACACATAATTCCATACTCTCAGCTCCTTTCTGAATCGCCTCCATTTGTCAGTTGTATGTCCACTCATACCTTGCTAACACTTATTTTCTTTAACCTATTAAAATTCTCCTTCTTAACAAATACCTTAATAAAAGAAAATTAGACTGAGTATTCGTACCTTCATGAATATTGGCTACTCTGCCTCTCGTCCTTTCTTTTACTTGCTCTCTCTTTTAGACCCCTTGTGATATGGAACGAGTGGTTTCATCCTGCACCATCCTCAAAGCCTTAGATATTCCAAAGGGACATAAGGTTGCGACTTTAGAAGCTCCCATCTTCAACGGACTTATCCTTGACCATCAGTTACACATTTGCAACGCAACATTCACGAAACGCGCCAACTGTGATACTGATTAAAACCATCTAAATTCATAGCTTATAAATTATCAACTCATTTGTAAAAATTTGATTTTGCCTGTAAACTGGCATGCCTCATGTAAAAAACTGTTATTTGAGAATAAATTATTACTCTTATTATTGTTACTAAGTCTTCAAAAATTACTTGGCATAGAATTTCTGTTAGGATTTTCAAAGATTATCATATATGAACTTAATTTTTATTGAATATATTTTACTCCAGAGAATGTGAAGAACCGTAAAGTAAAGGAATCAATCAAGTAGAGTGAAACATTATCCCAAATTGCCGTATTCAAGGGCTTAGTAAAAATGACGTTCATTGGTTAGTATTTACATTTCAGATGTTGACATGATGCAATTTTGTAGAAATGCTTTTCTGTTTATAAGAAGTAAATATACAACTTACCAGCATCTTTGGTAGACTGAGAATTGTCTTTTGTATTTCGTATGTTCCTTTAGTCGATAGCCATGATAGCGCTATGTTTTGAACAGATCTAGAAATTGGAACGAAGACATACAGTAATGTAGATTGAACTTTGTGAAGTGTCGGTTACTCCACTCAAAATAAATCTTTAATGTCTGGAAATAAATTTGATGTATTAGCTAATTAGAAAATTACATTTTATAAGATCCGTTACTTTTTCGCTTCCACATGGATTATCCTGGCTTTTGGGCGAACCAGGTAGTTTATTCTTCATCACATGTTTTGACCTTGTCAGCTATCTACTCAAAAATCTGTATAGTAGGCTATTCATCACATGTCCTTTGCTTATTTTCTATCACGTCTTTATCATAGGGAGTTAGAATGCTTTTCGTCTTTGCTTCGTCGCGAACCTGTCACAATGATTTCTGTCTGAGTAAATCAGTGCCTGAAATTTATTCGTCTAGCTCAATTCGTATTTAGATTTCTATCGCAGCCATCTTTCAGACAGAGTTGTAAGAAGTACGATATTGGAAATCAAACGGTGAATTCACATTAATCGTTCAATTATTGTTTGTTCATGAAGGAGTTAGAAAATGGTTTAAAGTTTTAACAGACACTGTGTAATAGAGATTTAATGAGATTTAGCATTCACACTGAGAAATGAGTGTAATAAGATGTCATAAACTCTTTTTCTGGTGCTCGGATATTCCCACGCGACAATTCAGCCTGACTATTGCTCTTATCAATGATCAACTACTGATCTCTTAGATAGAGAACAAAACGATTAACATGTGAGAGGACGCTTGTTCCCAAAGTTATTCTGCATACAGAAACATGTGTTGCTATAGTTTCTGAAATTTCTGTGCCTGCATCTTTTTAATGTTTCCAACTGCAACTTTCATTTTCCAGCTAACGACATAAATAGTTACATATACCCCTCTAAAGTGAATATCAAATCAAATTTAAACACATGCTGACAGATAATAAAAACAACAGTTTACAACCCTTTTTATTAATACTCACGGAATTTTCGCTGACATCAACTTTTCCGACTCAAAAACTGAAGGATGAAATCCCTTATGAAAAATATAAGAAATTAATGTGATTCAATTTCTAGTTTGACTTGTACTCAACGATTAGAGTCTATACGTGAACCATAAAACTTGTTTAATAAACAAAAATGTTATACTATTTGATTGATATCATGAGCTGAGTGATGTTGAATCACCATCGAAATCCTGAAAGCACTGAACGGCCGGTACGTCTTACTATGGGAATCTACAACAGTGCGCATCCACAATCCCGCCCGTGGGATTCGAGCATGTGACCTGTATTCTCGCGTGCAAACGCTCAACCTCTAGACCACTGTGCTGGCATCCAACATCCATCGGTTCATGGTCTCAATCAAGAACGTTATAGTCTCCGTAACCCTATACTGATAATTTCATAGTATTTTGATTTTGAAGTGAATTCAAACAAGGTTTTATACATTAAATAATCATATCGACATTTTGTAATACGCCACGTAGAAATCGCTTAGTATCTTATGTCTTCACTACCAGACTGTACACTATTCGAATGAATTTAGCTTTTCATCATTTCAGATTGTTTCTCACAGTGAGAAGATCATATACATAATGTACAAACCAAATGAGCATCATAATAATACACACACTTAATATTGTTTCCATATCTGTTTAACTTAGTTCGGAGAAACTTGTGTAATAATTAATAAATTGTGAGAAGTGCAAACGCAATTACACAAATTGTAGCAGTTGACACAGAACCCAAAATAATTTCATTTGTGATCAAACCAATTAAATATCTGCACTACTCATCGTACTAACCAAATGCTGAACGAAACAAGACTATTCGTGTGTCAACGTACTGAGACCTTATTTCAAAAACTGAAAACAACTTACCAGTACATGAGCTAATTCACGCTTTATTAAGTTGATCAACTTGTCATCCGCAATTTTGATCGATTCTTCCTTAGGCAGACAATAATTCAATACGCCCATATAAGGTCTGTAGAAAAAATGCAAGTATTAGATTGCATTGCTTATGAAGCGTTATTTCATTACTAATTATTTATCCACGAGATATTTTACTGAAAAGTTACGTGATGTGTATGATAAAGATGAAGTTAGACAGTCACACTGAACATAATAATCTGAAAACTACATTTTACAGAAAAAGTGCTTACATTCAAATAAAATAGTCATTGTAAGAGGATGCAACACTACAGAAATGTCTTACTCAATCCATCAACATATAACATGAGACAAATGGTTTGTCCCAATGCAAGAAACCATCTGGTGCTACACATATACAGTATCAAGGTATGTAGATGTGAATTATTTTGAGCATTGAATCTGTTTATCCACATTTTATGTTTGATCAGGCATAAGCGGATCCAGTTGATAACACCGTGAACGTGATCACAGAGGGGATTTCGAGATATTGTTTAACTATTTCGAGATAACTGAGGTGTACTGGTTTATTCGTCGTATGACACTGTAATATTATAATATTCTGTTCTGGGGCTGTTTGGTTGCTCTTATCACCGATGCAAATCACCATCACACAAGACGAACCTGTATTAAATAACATACACCGATTTCCCGTTAGAAGTGATATCGACATAGATATGAGATCAACGTAGTCAGCCGTTGTTCAGCAAGAACGGTTTCATAGTAAATAGCAGTTAGTCAAATATTGTCAACGAGTAATTGATATTATACATATATTCAAATCAGAGAGCAGCACAGCAGTGTGCTCAATCAACGCATTCTATTTACTTAAGATTCATTGCACGTCAACAGTTACAATTTGATGAACTAAAAATCCAATAGATTTTCATACTATTAGGTTGTTGATCCAAGTCAATTCGTTACAACATTTGTTTGGTGAGTTTAACACACTGTCGGTTACTTTGAACAAATACTCTTTTGTCAATAAACGTAGTAGATACTAAAGAAAATGTGTAGCTTTTTGGTCAATCGTACAAAAAGTAAAGCAACATAGGTTATACAAGAAAGTGTTACGGTCAATTATCAACTAAATGTAAGTTCGTCATTTTTTTTCTACTTAAATAACTAATTAGAAATGTAGAAAACCTCATGTTGCGTTTACCACGTAATATCTAGTAAAGTGAATATTTCACCAGCTAAATAGCTTACCTTCCAGTACTTGGATGTGTGGCAACACGTACAGCATGAATATTTAAACATTTAGCACTCGGTATTTTTCCTGAGTCCGCCAAAATGATCAATAACTGATTGGGAGCTATCCCACTGCCTTCTGAATGAACTTTTCTATATATTCCGTTCTCTTCATGATAGCACGACTGAAAAAATATATGTTGGAATATTATGAACGAGGTAACAAGATATGTGGTTTGGTTCCAATTAGTTTAAATTAAATATTTAGACAATGCTTATATAGCAAACTACACGTTGCAAGTCTGTTGAGCAGTGTATACTGGTTGTTGTAATACGGATCTTTAATTCTTGTAATCTAAACTAAACCAAATTAAACATAACTACCAGAGGTTCACTTCTGACTTCATTAACTGCAAAGAACACAGTCAAGACCACGTGTTATAGATATAACAGTATAAGCCTTTCACCTGAAATACCTAACTTTTAGGCCAAAATAGTATTTCACCAATTCAGTATACTTGTCAAAATATTCACTTTTTTAACCTATCGAGATGTTCAAAACCAAGCTTCCGTATTTATAAACTATAGGCTCGTGACAATAAGCCTCATTCTTTACGATTCACGCCTGCAACATTTTATATCATACCTTTCCAATCAGATATTTGTCTGAGTTAAGACAAATCAGGAGTTTCATACATCACATGACGTTTTTGGTGAGGTAAAACGTTTTTACCTTTGATGACGATAAACACTGTTTTCGGGATATTTTATGAGCTTCAGTTGAAGTAGTGGCAGTGTACCTTCCTCATAATTTCAGTCGTTCACAGAAAACTACTTTAAAAATATGTAGTTTATGACAATTCACTAATCATACACATATAATATGTTTCAAATTTGTTGCACATTACGTTTCGCATTGCTTTATCTGGTGTATAAACATTTCTGACCAAGTTCACTAATAAGTTGATGTTCGTAATATCATGTCATGTAGTTGTTACGAACACATTTGTTAAGTTTATAAGTATATACATGAAGATTTCTCTTTGCACAAGCAATTCACAATTCAGTTTGTTTTTGTGTTTCGTTGAAAAATGATGCTTGATTACAAATGAAGACACAGCGATCATGAGGATTTTCACAATATATATCATACATATCATAATAACCGTATGGTAGATGCGACTAAGCCAGGGTACATGCAGTCCAGCACGAAGCCAGGTTCACGCTTTATTATATATATTTTTGGCCATGATAATGATCCTTATGCAGCTTCGCCTACGGAAACGTTTTAACAACTTTGACGTCCTCTAAATAGTCAAGTTACGTCATCTCAATCTGGTGGTTAAGCCACTACAACGACACCAATCCAAAGACCTCAATAAACCATTCAATCGTTATTAGCGAGGTGAGGTGTGTACAAAGGGCAGAGACGTAGTTAGTCCAAGCTCATGAATTGCACATGCCAGAAATTCCTCGTTCAGGGGGAATAATTGCAAGCCTTGAACCCGGTCATGACGGTGATGAAACAGTTTTCACACCCTTTCGTACCGGGTTTCGCTCCTTTCCAGCACCGTCGTTGTAGCGCACGTGTGGCCCCGGATATCCGAGAGTATCAGAGATCTGTTATTGTTCAATTTCGTGTGCTACTTGTCCCTCTGAGTAGTAGAAGCTGGTATCGCATCCGCCGGATCAACGTCACACTACTCCACAAAAAAGCAATAGAAGTCAGGCCATAAACGTGCACAGAGGAACAGTCAAATATTAAGCAGGTTAATGTCTCGTTCGTTATCGGAATTAACCAGACAAATTACCTCACCAACTGTGAACATATGTCCACATATGTTATGAAAACACATCTTATTTAATGTTACACTTACCGACAAATATTTTTTCGGAATCCTTACACCTTCAATTTTTGTATGTTTTTTGCACTTAGAATTCAAGCAAGATGGATTATTGTTTTTCATTCTTACAAAATGTTCTTTATTCGAACATTCTCTAGAAAACAACAAAATTTGTGAAGAAGAAAGAAGGCAATGGGGATGGCGAAAAATTTGCAAATGATTTAGACGTTATTGCTTTGACATGAATATTGTGTAAGTTAACAGGTTCAGTTTAATTCATATGTCAATATATGTTAACAAATTCTCAAAAACGTGGAACTCTAAGACTAGTGTTTTCTCGTCGATCCTCCTTTAAACCATTTTGAAACCGGTCACAAGTGTGTTTTCACAGTCTATATAAGTATGCTTTCCCCATTCAATGCTTTGTTGAATGATATGATTAGGAAATAAAACTACAATGTATATTGCATGACTTGTTCAAGGATCATGACCACCAATGATGTTAGATATAGTTCAAGTTGACAATACTTCAAAGATTTATATGTATGTATGTCGAGAAACTTTCCAAAGCGAAGTACTTCGTTATGAATTTATCAACATATCACTTATTATTTACCTTGGCAAATACACTGGTTTCTCACTGTCAATTTTAACCTTCAGTGTTTTCTCCCAATAACTTGAAGCACTGTGGATTGCTTTCTGTTGATAAGAACAATACACAAATAATCATCGATAAAAAGGGAAGTGAATAGTTTCATTATCAAAACAAATGATCGCAGTGGCAATGATCTAAGTAGGTTCAGAATATGTGACTTTCCAAAGTTCATCTCCCTCATGTTTGTACGTAAGCAATTATTTGGATGTGAAGTGCATGTTAATTATGGTGTTGGGCATTTACAATGAGTCTTCTCGACGGATGTTGGAATCAGTTTTCCAGCAATCACAAGCAATCAATTTGCGCAACACAGTGAATCAGTGAAACTTCGTCGAACAAACTTTCAAAAATTGCGATTATCCCACAAATCATCGTATATAAAATTCCTATCATTCGAAAAAAACGTCTCTGCATAACTGATGATTATAGTAATGATAGTGTTACAAAGCTTCATGATATATTTTCACGAACCACTCATTGAACGTTACAGTTATATGATTATGAGCCATCAATACATCCAAAACACTTCTGTCAATACCCTATCGCGATCTGTCGACAATAGTGATCATATACAGGAACGTTTTTCTATTTCCATTGACTTAATTGATCAGACGGTTTTCTACATTCACTATCATCCAAATGTTGGACGTTCAATCAACTTACTAACTTATCACATCATCAAATACTGAACTATAATCGAAAACAGGACTTACCTCTATTTTCGGAAATTCTTGATTCTGTTGTAAATCTTCATCATAAACAAAGATGATTTGCAACTGTTTATTGGTCAAAGATCTTTTCTATAAAGTTTATGGATAAGTATAATGTTCAAGAAAAAGATTTTTGTTCACTATTCTCATTGATCACTTACCTGTTGTTCTTGGACCACTTGCTGGTCACGTTTACCAGTCACCGATTTTAATGGTACAATGCACAGAAGGACAAAAATGTGAACTTTCATTAGTATACCTCACAGTGAACCACCGTTTATTAATCTTCTGAGTGTATTTATAATAGATGATGCATATGAAGTTCCTACAAATGTTTCACTTTGCATACAAGTTATATCAAATATTTCTCATGTCCTTGTTTAAACTTTTCTAAAACTGTTTATACAAATAAACACGATGGATTTGAAGTGTGTGAATAACGAAAGATCTCTATTAGGATAAACCTCTCAACTGATTTCCCACAAAGGACACGATAAATGCACTTCACTTGGCTCAACTTGTGTGTACTCCAGCTTAACGGAACTGTATTTCCAAGTATATTTTTATTGTTGTACAAATCTCATGTGGTTTTTTAAGCTTCACCAATATAATCTTCACCATTGAGGCAGCATATATCGTAGTTATAGTAAACAGAAAACCAACCTCCCTGAACTAATATTTAGTGCAAGTTGCACAACAGTTGTAATATTCAGAATTTCCTAAAACAGTATTGCTTCAAGCTAATCTGAAAGTGTAGGTATGTTGTTGAATGTTAATTCAGCACTTCTATTCTAAATGTTTTGTATCGACTTGAGAACTCAATTGACTAGAATAAATATTTAGGCTCACTTGTATTGAAATATCGTTAAATGGAAGCTGACGTTAATAATGAAAAACAGAGTTTTTCAGTGTAATGTCTGTGACTTTTCGTCAAGATTGAAATAATGATTCTGCCAGTTGAAGTCATGTATGAATCTAAGCTAATTCACCAATGAAAATATGAAAACACTGGGCAGACGTTTCGTCTTAGTATGAGACTACTCACGATACTGCAAATGATTTAAACTGTGAAAATACGGCAGTCTCCACAAATCCCCTTACTGATATAAACAGGTCGTTTATCATATATTTGGCACCAAGTATGAGGAATACACTTAGTCGAAAACTTTTATTTGAAGTCATCATAGCGACTGAACTCTAAGTGATTAAAACATTATGATGAAATGGCTTGTAAGCACACTTTCAGTGTGGTAATCAACTAAAAATTTATATATTTACATTTACATTTACATTATGAAGAGATGACCACCGGAAACCTGATAATAACCGTTTTGTTCATGCATAACACATTTCAAAAATCACAAGCCTGAACCAGTTCTGCATTAACCAAATTCGAAAAATCCAATTACACGCGTACGACGGTGGAAATATTATGAATGTAGACATTTAATTAAAAGATTAAATTATATATAATATGAAACCTTTCTTGCTGAGCAATAATAATTGATAAGTTGATGAATTCATAACGAAGTACTTCGCTTTGGAAAGTTTCTCGACATACATACATATAAATCTTTGAAATATTGTCAACTTGAACTATATCTAACATCATTGGTGGTCATGATCCTTGAACAAGTCATGCAATATACATTGTAGTTTTATTTCCTAATCATATCATTCAACAAAGCATTGAATGGGGAAAGCATACTTATATAGACTGTGAAAACACACTTGTGACCGGTTTCAAAATGGTTTAAAGGAGGATCGACGAGAAAACACTAGTCTTAGAGTTCCACGTTTTTGAGAATTTGTTAACATATATTGACATATGAATTAAACTGAACCTGTTAACTTACACAATATTCATGTCAAAGCAATAACGTCTAAATCATTTGCAAATTTTTCGCCATCCCCATTGCCTTCTTTCTTCTTCACAAATTTTGTTGTTTTCTAGAGAATGTTCGAATAAAGAACATTTTGTAAGAATGAAAAACAATAATCCATCTTGCTTGAATTCTAAGTGCAAAAAACATACAAAAATTGAAGGTGTAAGGATTCCGAAAAAATATTTGTCGGTAAGTGTAACATTAAATAAGATGTGTTTTCATAACATATGTGGACATATGTTCACAGTTGGTGAGGTAATTTGTCTGGTTAATTCCGATAACGAACGAGACATTAACCTGCTTAATATTTGACTGTTCCTCTGTGCACGTTTATGGCCTGACTTCTATTGCTTTTTTGTGGAGTAGTGTGACGTTGATCCGGCGGATGCGATACCAGCTTCTACTACTCAGAGGGACAAGTAGCACACGAAATTGAACAATAACAGATCTTTGATACTCTCGGATATCCGGGGCCACACGTGCGCTACAACGACGGTGCTGGAAAGGAGCGAAACCCGGTACGAAAGGGTGTGAAAACTGTTTCATCACCGTCATGACCGGGTTCAAGGCTTGCAATTATTCCCCCTGAACGAGGAATTTCTGGCATGTGCAATTCATGAGCTTGGACTAACTACGTCTCTGCCCTTTGTACACACCTCACCTCGCTAATAACGATTGAATGGTTTATTGAGGTCTTTGGATTGGTGTCGTTGTAGTGGCTTAACCACCAGATTGAGATGACGTAACTTGACTATTTAGAGGACGTCAAAGTTGTTAAAACGTTTCCGTAGGCGAAGCTGCATAAGGATCATTATCATGGCCAAAAATATATATAATAAAGCGTGAACCTGGCTTCGTGCTGGACTGCATGTACCCTGGCTTAGTCGCATCTACCATACGGTTATTATGATATGTATGATATATATTGTGAAAATCCTCATGATCGCTGTGTCTTCATTTGTAATCAAGCATCATTTTTCAACGAAACACAAAAACAAACTGAATTGTGAATTGCTTGTGCAAAGAGAAATCTTCATGTATATACTTATAAACTTAACAAATGTGTTCGTAACAACTACATGACATGATATTACGAACATCAACTTATTAGTGAACTTGGTCAGAAATGTTTATACACCAGATAAAGCAATGCGAAACGTAATGTGCAACAAATTTGAAACATATTATATGTGTATGATTAGTGAATTGTCATAAACTACATATTTTTAAAGTAGTTTTCTGTGAACGACTGAAATTATGAGGAAGGTACACTGCCACTACTTCAACTGAAGCTCATAAAATATCCCGAAAACAGTGTTTATCGTCATCGAAGGTAAAAACGTTTTACCTCACCAAAAACGTCATGTGATGTATGAAACTCCTGATTTGTCTTAACTCAGACAAATATCTGATTGGAAAGGTATGATATAAAATGTTGCAGGCGTGAATCGTAAAGAATGAGGCTTATTGTCACGAGCCTATAGTTTATAAATACGGAAGCTTGGTTTTGAACATCTCGATAGGTTAAAAAAGTGAATATTTTGACAAGTATACTGAATTGGTGAAATACTATTTTGGCCTACAAGTTAGGTATTTCAGGTGAAAGGCTTATACTGTTATATCTATAACACGTGGTCTTGACTGTGTTCTTTGCAGTTAATGAAGTCAGAAGTGAACCTCTGGTAGTTATGTTTAATTTGGTTTAGTTTAGATTACAAGAATTAAAGATCCGTATTACAACAACCAGTATACACTGCTCAACAGACTTGCAACGTGTAGTTTGCTATATAAGCATTGTCTAAATATTTAATTTAAACTAATTGGAACCAAACCACATATCTTGTTACCTCGTTCATAATATTCCAACATATATTTTTTCAGTCGTGCTATCATGAAGAGAACGGAATATATAGAAAAGTTCATTCAGAAGGCAGTGGGATAGCTCCCAATCAGTTATTGATCATTTTGGCGGACTCAGGAAAAATACCGAGTGCTAAATGTTTAAATATTCATGCTGTACGTGTTGCCACACATCCAAGTACTGGAAGGTAAGCTATTTAGCTGGTGAAATATTCACTTTACTAGATATTACGTGGTAAACGCAACATGAGGTTTTCTACATTTCTAATTAGTTATTTAAGTAGAAAAAAAATGACGAACTTACATTTAGTTGATAATTGACCGTAACACTTTCTTGTATAACCTATGTTGCTTTACTTTTTGTACGATTGACCAAAAAGCTACACATTTTCTTTAGTATCTACTACGTTTATTGACAAAAGAGTATTTGTTCAAAGTAACCGACAGTGTGTTAAACTCACCAAACAAATGTTGTAACGAATTGACTTGGATCAACAACCTAATAGTATGAAAATCTATTGGATTTTTAGTTCATCATATTGTAACTGTTGACGTGCAATGAATCTTAAGTAAATAGAATGCGTTGATTGAGCACACTGCTGTGCTGCTCTCTGATTTGAATATATGTATAATATCAATTACTCGTTGACAATATTTGACTAACTGCTATTTACTATGAAACCGTTCTTGCTGAACAACGGCTGACTACGTTGATCTCATATCTATGTCGATATCACTTCTAACGGGAAATCGGTGTATGTTATTTGATACAGGTTCGTCTTGTGTGATGGTGATTTGCATCGGTGATAAGAGCAACCAAACAGCCCCAGAACAGAATATTATAATATTACAGTGTCCCATCGGGCAAGATGGTTTACTAGGTTACTCAACATCGAACGCTTTAAATAATAAACCTGTAAGACATAACTATTCTCAGCACTTTCCCGTTGGGCAAGATGGTTTACTAGGTTACTCAATATCAAACATTTTATATAATAAACCTGTAAGACGCAACTTTGCTCAACACTTCCCCATTGGGCAAGATGGATTACTAGGTTACGCACCATCAACCCAACCCCAACAGGCAAGTGCCTGTCTTAACTGTCCGCCTAGTCAAGCTCTACAAATTAACCCACTTTATCAAAATACTGATTTTTTTGGCCTTTAGAAATCCCTGGTCCCACTAGCAATACAGTTTGTTCAAGCGATAGCCCATACGATCAGTCAAACATAATAAACCATAGTCTATGCAAATCCAAACCACATAACATCGACAGTGAAGCTCTAGGTTTTTTTACACTCCACACTCCCTTTTTAAACTTATTACTTATCAACGCACGTTCACTTCTAAACAAAATTTCAGCCTTGAGAACATTAGCTTTTCTAGCCAAACCTTCTTTCATACTTATCACTGAAACATGGTGCTCTCAAGCAGTATCTAATTCAGAATTAAATATCCAGAACTATCGACTTTATCGCTGCGACAGAGAAACTAAGCGAGGAGG